CAAACGACCCCGACTGCTTTATAAATTTCTATGCTTGTTTCTCCAACATAGCTTTGTTGAACTCATGCATTTTCCAAAAACCCAAACCCACCATCTTCTTTGGGCTACATAACTTCCCCCAATTTGTGCATTGAACACCCCCACCACCCTCCTAATGAACCCCCTACCAAAACTAGGGTTGAGCATTACCCGACCTATCCGAAAAAAACTGGCTGAACAGAAATCCAAAACAGCCTTGCCGAACCCGAACTACCGAATCGAAGCCCTATACGACATCGGTTCTGATAATTCGGGTGGGGAGATATTTTCATATCTGACCCGCCCGAATATCCGAAATAATGTAGGGTTACGTTTGGTTAGGACTATACAATGTCGTGTATATATATATATATATATATATATATATATATATATATATATATATATATATATATGTATGTATATATATATATATATATATATATATGTGTGTGTGTGTGTGTGTGTGTGTGTGTGTGTGTGTGTGTGTGTGTGTGTGTGTGTGTGTGTGTGTGTGTGTGTGTGCGCGTGCGTGTTTTGATAACGATGAAGACATCCAGTCTCTCCTCATTTGCGCAATTGCGACTCGCTGCTAGGGTTCTCTCTTCTCTAGTTCTGACTTCTCTCATCTCTTACTTCTCTCTTCTCCAATTCTCTAAGAGACTAAGACTATGAGTTCTCTCTACTCTGTAGTCTATTTTCTTCTTCCACTCGTTCTCTACTTCTCTATTGCCTCACTCTCTCAGACACTCATCTCCGATTCTCTGGTAGTCCGGTGGCCGTTGGTTCTTTTGGAGTGGTGAAAGCCCTACTGGTGGAGTGGGGGTGTCATGGTGACTGGTGTTCAAAGAAGCCCTTGTTCTCCGCGGGGTATTTGGGAGAAATGGAGTAAATAACAAACCTTAGTTTTTTGTTTTTTATTTACTCAATTTATTTTGATATATTGTGATATATTATGAATATTTTGACAATTTTGTGATATATTTTGGTGAAAACACTATTTATCGCAAATCCTAGTTTTATAAATTTGATTTATTCAATTTATTGTGATATATTATGAATTTATGATATGATATATTTTGTGATATATCGTGAATTTGTGATTTGTTTGATTGGTGGAAGTAGTGTTATGCTCAACCTTAGCACTCTAGCGGTGTTATGCTCAGCCTTAGCACTCTAGCAGTGTTAATCGCAAACCCTAGTTTGACTGTTTGAGAAAGTGTTTACTACTTTGTGATATATTGTTCATATATTTTGATATATTATGGTTGAAAATGTGAAATGTCCCTTAAAGGCTTAAATGTGAAATTTCCAATGTTGAAGTTTCCATAGGGTGTAAGCCCCTAATTGTGAAATCCATATAATGATGAACTGTATAACTGTATAAGTTCCTGAAAAGTGAAATCTCTAAATCTGGATTTCTTTGTGTCATAATATCATTGTATGTTTATGGATGTATGCCCTTAAGTGAGTCAATAATTATGAAATCTTGATAAATGATGACACAAACAAGAGTTTGATTCGGGATTGCTTTCATGCTTTGTATATTTATGTGGTCATATACAATATTCTGTATAAATGTCTGACTCTCTGAGATTCTTTAATATGTATGCCGCTATGTGTACTGATAGTTATTCATTTGTTTAGATAGAAAATACCAGTATGTCTTGTAGTCAACTTTCCAATTCTTCAAGTGATATTTCTGTTAAGAAGGGCAAGGAGGTTGTGAGATATGTTAGAAATTCACTTGGCTGAAGAAGTTCAGGGATTTGTCTGATTTGATAGGAATTGAACAAAGATCTTCTTTGTGTCTATATGTTCCAACCATATGGAACTCTACCCATTTGACATTACAATCTACATTGACTTACCAAAAAGTGTTTGGAGCTTATGAAGAATCTGATACTTCTTTCAAATATGACTTGGATGATTATGTTCCTAATTTTATGGATTGGGATGCTGTGCAAAGTTTGGTCAAGTTATTTAAATGTTTTTATGATATGACTGACATAATTTTTGGATCTTTATATGTCACATCTAATACATTTTTCACTGAAATATTTGATTTATACTGCCTCTTGAGTCTTGAATGACATGGTGGAAGCTTGTGGGGCTGTGAGTCTTATGAGGACAAACATGAAGGCAAAATTTGAAAAGTATTGGGGTGATATAGAGAAAATAAATTTTATGATTTTCTTTGCAAACACTCTAGACCACAGGGATAAATTCGAGTATATGCCAACTCAGATTAATCATACGTATGGTGAGGTTAAAGGCAAATCATACTTTGAGAAAGTGCTTGCTGCTTTGAATGAGTTGTTTGATGATTATGCTGTCAGTTGTAACCCTAATGTTGTCCCTACTGTTCCTGCTTCTACTCAGTCTCCATCCGCCTCTGTTGATAGTCCTTGTAGTGATTATTCTCAGTCTGCATCTGCCTCTGTTGGGAGGCCACAACATTTACTGAAATCCCAAATAAATTATTTTTTATTTTTTTTTTAAAAAAACAAAGATTGGAAAGTGGGGGTAAGAAAAAAACTGAGTTGGATATCTACTTGAGTGAGACAATAGTTGAAAAGGATAACTCTTTTGATATACTTGGTGGAAGATAAATTTTGAAAGGTTTCATATCATGTCTAAGCTTGCTAGGGATGTCTTAGCTATACCAATCTCAATTGTTGCCTCAGAATCTGCCTTCAGTACACCTGGGAGAGTTTTAGATCCTTTTAGGAGTTCATTAACTCCAAAAATTGTGGGAGCTTTGGTTTGTACTCAGGACTGGCTTAGGCTGCCGAATACTCCTTTTATGTATTGAGGAAAATCTAGAAGAATTGGAGAGGTTTGAACAAGGTCATAGTGTAACACTTCCTAAATTCTTGTAGTTTTTACATTCCTGATTTCTTGTAGTTTTTACATTCTTGTATGTTGTATTTCTTATTTTGTAGAGTTAAGCGCTGATGGTAGAAGTGGAAGGACGGGTGGTTCTACACTGTACAGTTCTTGTAATTTTATTCTTTAAATTACTAGTGTCTCAAATTAATTGTCAATTGCAAACTAATCTCTGTCCCAGTTTTTTGAGGCCTTGGTAACTTATTACTTATTAGTTGTTGGCTTGCTTGCTGCCCTTGCACTGGGACACTAGTAAACGGTAATGTTGCCCACTACTCCCTATTTTGAAGGCTTGGTAACTTTCTAAATTGTAAGTTGCTGCATTAAGTCCCTTGTGCAGTGTGCACCTGTAAATCTGGTAATGTTTCTATTTGACACATTTTATTATGTTTGTCCCTTTTCTGTGTCAATGATGAAGCTTCCACCTATAATATGAAAGAATGATTATAGTTGGTATGTTGCTCTAGAATTATTGTAGCAATTTGCCATTAATCCAAATTGATATGGACAAAAAGTTTACTTAGCCAACTTTCTAAATTGTAAGTTGTTGCTTTTACTTGCTTATTTACTAATTTTTTCACTAACTATTCGCAATTCGCGGGAAGAAGAGTAGCTGAGTAGGTTACTAGGTTTATGCTTAAAGGCTTTTGGAGTTTAGTCCTTTTGGAGTATAATGGATACTAATCATGCATTGATATTTTGTCATTTTGTGAATGAATTGTAAATCTGTAATCATTTTGTGGATGAATATGTAATGTGTAAATTGTTGTATATTTTATTTAGATTATAGGCTTATACTAATTTTGGATTTCATATTTTCAGTTCTGTATAATAATTACTAAGTTGCTAATATGCTTCTATATTAATAATTTAGTACATTATTATACAAGTATTGTAGTATAGACTTTACTGGAATTCTGGAAATATGGAAATAAAATATTGAATATGATATATATTTTCAAATTTCAATGCTTTTGTTTAAATTCATTAATTGTTTTTTCATTTTAAAATAACTGAATTCCTTTCGGACATCCCACTGATCGACCGTACCAATCCGAACCGACACATAATATAACTAAATGGTTAATTTACATTTTAAAAAATTTGGGTACAAAATATAATATTCGATATCCGAACGGTTAGCATCTCGGTCCAACCGATCTGATCCGATCTAAACTGTTCAATGCTTCGCCAATCTAAAACGCATTCATAACCACCTCTAACTCCTGACATAATCCCCGGGGGAGGAGGTCAGGAGGAACACCGATATCACATACATAGAAATTGCCTAGACCATTTAATTTATAATATAATTAAAAAAATATATATATTTTAAAAAAGCAACACAAAAGGGTTTTGTATCAAAGAGATCATGATTTCAAATTCAAACAGGATAACTCTGTTTCGAATCCCTGAGCCAGTTTTTATGGCCTCATAGAGTGAATGTGGATTAGCCAGGTGGACCTGGACCGTTAAACGGACAGAGAAAAAAAGGGAATAAAAGTCAAATAGACAACACAAATCATACAATTCAATCTAAATTGACTTGTTTACCTAGAAAGCCGGTTACCGAATTTAAAAATATTTTTTAAATAATTTTAAATAAAAAAAAAAAAAAAACTCCTTCCTCTCCGGCGGAGATGAAGGGGTGGCTTCGTCTTGGGCCGTCTCCCCGTCCATGGAGACGACCCGAGAGTTGCCTGCCACTTCGTCTCCGACATAGTTTTTTTTTTTTTTTAATTATTTAAAATATATTTTTAAATTCGGTAACTGTCTTTCCAGGTAAACAGGTCATTTTTGGATTAAATTGCATGAGTTTGAGTTATTCAGAGACCCAATTATATTCTTTTTTAGTTTGATGACCTAATTGCAATTGAATTCGTAGTTGAGTGGCCTATTTGACCATTATTCTTAAAAAAAAAATGATTCCAAATTCAAAGGGGGTAAGTGGTGACAATTGTAAATCTAGCAAAACTCAAGGACTGTTGTGAAATAACTCTTTCTTCAGTTGCCCTCTAAAAATATCCTAGACATTAGTCAGATGCTCTCATCAATGGATCACAACCTTCTATCCATTATCCAACGGCCTGTATTGACTTGATCTCTCATTATAAAAGATGTCCACTAGCTCGGTTCCGCTACCACTTAAACCTCCTTCGATCGAAAACCTCTCTACTAGGGTTTTACAGAAATCGTCTAAGGTATTCCTCAGAACCCTTTCTCGAAGCGTTTTTGAATGCTCGAATGTACTAAAGATTAGTATTATGTTTTCAGTTGATGCATATATGTGATTTATTTGATTGATTAATTGTTCCGTTCCTCGATTTATTTACTGCTGAGATGCTTTCTTTATTTCACTTCCTTACTGAAGATTCTGCCTTTCGTTTTCTCTTCTTCCTTTTGTCGATTGGGAGATTTATACTGTGCTGTAATTTCGGTTGTCGAATGATTAGATAAATCTGATTCGGGATATAAATGTTTGAAAAATAAGACAATCATTGTATACAAACGTGTTTGATTTTTGTTTTTGTTTTTTGTTTTCTTGTTTTTTTTGTTTTTTTTTTTTTGTTTTTTTTTTGTTTTTTTTTTTTGTTTTTTTAAGGCTGTTTTGTTTAACACGATAATTGTTTTGTGTGCTACATAGTCATATTTTCTGGTCTTACATTTTGTTTCTATCCTTAAAATTGAGGCCAAGAAAGGGTGAATACTAAAAACTGAAAAGAATAAGGAAGAAAATATTAGTATATTCTGTTATATGCTCAGTGGCAAAATGTGAAAGCAGTTTTGTATTGCTGAAATCTCTAGACTTAAAAAAGGGAATCTTTATTTTGAGATGGAAATTGTTATCAATACCTTTGAGAGGGTGGTAAGTTATTTAACCTTATTCTGGATTTTGGATTTTTGCTGTGCTTCAAATGTCCTCATTGCTATGTTTAAAGTTTGACCTACCATACTTTGCTATTGTATTAGACCTTCAAAGAGCAAAGTATGGTAGGTCAAACTTTAATGGTTGATTTTTTTCCTATTTCTGCATATAATAGTTACTGGCTTACTGTTACAGATTTTTATTAATATTTCAACTTCTCAACAGTATTTGTAAAGAAAGCAACTTGGGTCATTTACATTTCAACATGTTCAAAATGTCCATCTTTCAACTATTGGTTGGGTCTCTTTTATAGTATGGATCAGTTTAGGCATGTTGAATTTTAACCCACTCATAGAGTGGTTACAAAAATGGTAGGAAAGCAGGTCAAAATGGGTTTCATGAAATTGTATACACATTCAACATTAATTTTAGTTATTTAATATAGTGTGGGTATTTAATATTTCCTACAGTCATATAAGTTTTTTTTTTTAATTTTTTTAAATAATTAAGATAAGTTTTAATATAAATTGTTAAATTTTATAGTGAGTCAAAATAGGTTAACCCCACAACATAATCCTTAGTTAATTTCCATGGAAAGTGCATGATTTCTTCTTTAACCTGTTTTGCTGCCTATAAGAATTTGTATAATGTGAGTATCACTGTCATTAAGATTTAAGAGGATATAATTGTCTTTATCCTGATTTGCAGAATGGCTTTCTTTAGTAAAGCTGGGAATGTACTCCGACAGGTGGTTAACAAGCCGCAAATCAGCCATGAGATCTCTGCATCCACACCCTCAGTTTTCCAAATCCTGCGATTTATGTCATCTTCAAAAGTTTTTGTAGGAGGTATGTGCTGTTAATTTCCTGGAACTAAAGTATGATATTAATTCAAATTTCTGCTGAAGTTTCTTTATTTGGTATTGTAGGAATCTCTTGGAGTACAAGTGATGCAAGTCTTCAAGATGCCTTCCGTAAATATGGAGATGTCATTGAAGGTATCATATTTTGTGCTTTCTGTTATTAAGGAGATTTCATTGGAGGTATTATTTAGTGCTTGTTGAGGGAATTGCTCTTGTAAGCCATAACCCTCAAACTGAAGCATTTCAAATGAGGTGGGTAACCCTAGCCAAGATGGCTAAGGATACAAACTTGTAACTACAAAGTTATGAGTTTGAATTCCAGTCTTCTTGGTTTGAGCCGGTCAACTATGGGCAACCTAGGCTGGCTAAGGATACAAACTTGTAACCACAAAGTTATGAGTTTGAATTCCAGTCTTGTTGGTTTGAGCCGGTCAACTATGGGCAACCTAGGCTGGTTTACCTCTTTGTGGGTGGTCCTTTGCCGTCTAGGGTCACACGGCTGGATTTACCTAGTGCACACCCCTCAGGTAGTGGCTGCAGGTTTTCCATTTTTTTTTTGAAGCATTTCAAATGAGGGTTCTCTTTGTCAAGAAATTCTTATAGATAACCCTCAAATCAAAAGATTGGAAATTTGTGCAAATAATTATTAATTAAGAATAAAACTTCTGGCAGCAAGGATTATTACAGATCGTGAGACAGGCAGATCCAGGGGGTTTGGCTTTGTTACCTTTGGCAGTCCTGAGGATGCTAGTGCGGCAATCCAGGCATTGGATGGCCAGGTTATTTCCTTCCCTTTATAATTTCATGAGAAAGCTCTTGCAAGGCATGGTCCAGTCTACTACCTGATCATGATGTAGTATGATAAATATTCTTGAACTATTTATTTCAGATGCTTGATGGCCGCTCAATAAGGGTAAACTTTGCAAATGAAAGGCCACCACGAAGCTTTGATGGTGGGTCTGGTGGCGGAGGATATGGTGGTGGCAGATATGGAGGTGGCGGCGGCTATGGAGGTGGTGGTGGCTATGGTGGTGGCAGTTATGGTAGTGGTCAAGGTGGGTATGGTGGCAGTGGGAATTTTGGTGGTCAAGGTGGCGAAGGTAGCTATGGTGCAAATAATTATGGTAGTGGTGGCAGCGTGGGTTATGGCGGTGACAACCAGAACTTTGGTGCTGCTGGCGGGGACTTCCCCAGTGCTGGCAATACTTTTGCGAGTAGTGGGTTTGAGGGAAATACAGGTTTTGGGTACGGCAGCAACAATCAATATGGAGACAATGCGAGCAGCAACACAGATGAAGCTGGGGGAGATGATAGCCATCCGGAACAGGGGAGCTTTAGAGACGACGATGATCAACCCGATGACTATGCCAAACGAGCCTAGGATGATTTGATTGCTTGACAATATTTTGTGCTGCAGATGCAAAGATAATGGAAGATGCCCTCTTCCCTATCCCTTTTTCTTCAGAACTGCCCTTGGTTTTTTTTTCTTCTTTTCTCATTGACTAAATTTGGCTATGTAAACTGTATTTGAGGTTTTGAAACCCTCTTGTTCTAAACATCTGCCCAATTAAAGATGTATCTTGTTTAGAGTTATATGAAGATTGAAGATGCCTTTCAACTAATACTCTGCCTGCTCTCTAGAACTCCCTAAACTAATTTGACTTGTGCTGCTGGCTGATGCTCTGATGGAGTGTTGAGCTGGCAGTGCCCTTTTTGTTGTTGTATATCCTTGACTGATTTAGGGTTCCATGTCAGATCAGATCTCAGACCCTCTTCCCCACATTAGCTATTATCTTGGGTGGGGAGAATTAATTCTGGAATAACTCTAAATAATCCACAGATGTGGATGCTCTAAGAGTCTGCTGATCGGAACAGGTTCCCTGTCATCTTTTTCCATATATTTTGCTTTTCCTTTAGGTTTCTCTCTTTGTTCCCTCTCGTTGGGTTTGGTTAGTGGAGTCTTGTTAGTGGCTTTGGGACTTTCCTAAAGGTTGTCCCCCACTTCTAGCTTTGTAGTGTTTTAGTGGTTTTGTTCTGCAGGCTGCCCACCACGCCTTCTTTTGTTTTTTAGTTTTTTTCTGGGTTTGTCTCCTCTATGATAAGCTTGTATCCTTCTTTCTTCCCTAATTTCACCTATATGACCAACTGAGTGTTGTTATGTTTTCGTCTGTTTCTCTCTCTCTGTCCGTCTATTGGTGATAGTGCAACAATGGGAGTTGGATGTGTTCTTAGAGATGAAAATGAAGCCTTCATTGCAGTTAAAGGAGTTCAGTGGAGAGGAACCTTCTTACCAAGGGATGCTGAAAGTGTGGCTGTCAGAGAAGTTAGGTTTAAGGAGCATAATATTGACAATGCTCATGTGGAATCAAATTCTCTACTGGTAGTTCAAGATTTGTACTTGTAGTTCAATGTTCTTTTTTTTTAGGTAAAGGTAAAAATATTATTAATTACCAAGAGGCATACTCGGAAAGTGTTCACACAAAATACAACTAATTCACACATACAAAATACAACTAAGTCTCTTCCGGCTTGCTCGAGGTCGACCTTGGGCCTCGGGGCCATGAGTACCGAGCTCGAGCTCGGCCTCGGCCTTAGACCTCAGGGTCATGAGCACCGAGCTCGGCCTTGGGCTTTGGGGTCGACTACGGGGTCGGCCTTGGACTCCCCGAGGTCAACCACATGGTTGACCCACTTTGGTTGACTTGGCCCACCTCTTCGAATCAGTTTGTTTTGGATGCATTTCTAATATATTCAGCATCAGTTATCCACTCTCCAAATTGCGAGAAGTTGTTAGCGAGAGAGTAGCCAACCATCGTACCTCTTCTTTCGTTTGACCTCCCCCAGAGATATAGACTAGATTGCTCCTCGACCTCGTTGATGTATTTTGTTGGACTTGAATAGTATAGTATCGCCTTTCCTTTAGGGAAGGCGACTTTGGTGTCTTCTCCGTGACCGGCGATAGTTCGCCGGTCACTTTTTTTGGGGCTTCATTGCATCAAAATAAATTGTTGATGGGTATAATTACACCTTTAAAAAAATTTAAGGGGCTAATTGACTTTTTAACTAAAGATCAATGGCCTATTTGACCCTTTTTCCTAAATTTTATTAGCATTAAAAATTATTTTGATTTGTCAAATTATTTGAGGAGAAATTGGTCATTTTGTAAAATTTTTCCAAGTATATAAAAAAAAACTTCCACATGAGGATTTCAAGTGAATGTTGAGTTTGTTGTAATGTTGATTACACGAGAATACCTTAGTCTATAATTTAAGCATAATTAATGAATTAAAACAATCATTTAAAAAAAAAATTCATGAAATTGACTTCATTTGTCTCTTTATATATTTTATATTTTCATACTTTGAGAAAATGTATAATATGAATTTCTATATTACACTCATATATATTTATTATTTTCACCGATAAATAATATAATCAATATTTCATGTAATTTTTTTTTCATAAAATTTAATTCAATTCATCCTCAATTCTTTTAAATAAACTAAATCAACGATTAAATTGTTTATCAGAAACACAATTCTCAAAATTTTTATCGCATGCGATTTTAATCATGTCATGTTGCATTTTTAATCTTTAAATTATAGACAGATAAATAAAAAAAAATTGCTTTCTAATTATTCTTTATGAGAAGATAAAAACCGGAACATGATTAAAAATTCAAAATCCAAAAATTAATTATGCTTGCCTTAAATAGTTAAGAACTGCCAAGCATCTTGTGCTCAGATGACATGTAATGACCTCTCCCATGTGGGAGGTCATGAGATCGAGCCTCAGTGGAAGCATTGTTGACTCGATGTGCTTCATTAGGTTGAGAAAGTATGTTTGAACAACATACTACAATGTCATAGAGTCAGTAGCATTCAAAAAAAATAAAAATAGTTAAGAACTAAATTTATTAATCAACAACCATGTAGTGTGATGGTCCCGGTTATTATTCTAAATAGGTCATCATAGGTTCAAAGAGTCTACAATTTAGACATAATTAATGGACTATTTTCCAATTTTAAAAATACAAAAATAAATCGCAATGAAGTGAGAAGGCAATAAATGAATGATACCTGATTTAAATTAAGTTGTAATTATATGAATAATCAAATCATATACATGTGTTTTAAAAAGTTGTCAACCAAATAATGTATATACCTTTTATTTTCATTCCTTGTATCTAACTGGCTAACCCCATGAACCAAACACACCCTTAGTTTGTGTAACTTCTTTTATGTGGCAAGAAGCAAAGAGAATATGACAACAGATGCATGTTCCAAGACAGAATATATACAGTGTGATCAAACTCAGATTAGAGATTAAGACTCCTCTTTATTCATTCTCCAAAAAGAAAAATTGATACAAATTTCAACATCATAGATCCAGTTAGAGTGTAACAAAGACAAGAAAGTGGATGCTTCAGTCAATCAAGAAACAATAGGGGAAGACAGAAAAGCATATAGTACTATTCCAATGAATTGATCAAGTCGTTCAAGTCGAACACCAACCAATCAGCTTTTGCTGCAACAGATTCTCGAAGTTGAACTCCCCCATAGCAGATATACAAGTCAGCGCCCCCTGGCTGACGAGCCTGTAAAAACATTTCAAAGAGAAGATATTGGTAAGAGAACGGGGGCAGGGTTAGACTTCTCAGTTCTGTCTCGAGGACATAAATTGGTTTCTTACCTCAAGGTCTGTAGCACCATCCCCGATCATGACTAGTGACTTGTATGCACGATCCTATAAATATATATATATTTGAACTTTATGATTACGGTTTTGAGAAAAAAGGAATACTAAGGGAAAATATGATATTATCACTGGACTAACCTTTCGTATCTGCCGAACTGCAGCAGCTTTCCCTCCACTCCTTGATGTGGGCTCGTTTTTGTCAAACCCCATAAATTCCCCGGAACTTCCAAAGAGAAGCTGATTGGCATAAATATTTTCACTCGGTATACCGAGGATGGATGCAACAGGCTAGGAGGAAATGGTTATAGTTAGAATATGGATTACAGTATTTAAACAGTGCGCATAGTATCTTTTGTTTTTGAAGTTTCAAGGCAATAGAAAAATATAAATTGCAGAACATGAGATAAAATGAAAAAAGTGGTGTTTAAAAATTGAATTAGTGATTAATCAAAACCTTAAAGATATATTATTGAAGGGAAAGAAAAAACAAAAGCCTTTAACCCAAAGGAAGCTTTGAAGCAAACAACTTAAGTTTCAATAAAATGTCTTTCTTCCTCAAGCTAAAATAGCATTATTTATGCATTCACAATTTTTTTTTTTTTTTTTTTTTTTTTTTTTTTTGTAAAACAACGTGCCTAATATACAAATAGAGTTCCCTTTTGTTACGAATGTAAAGAGAGTTTCTAAATAAGTTGTATCTTGTATATCAGAAAAGAGAATACACAACCCTATAAATACATGCTAAAAGACTTCTAATAAGGAAACAAGTTTCCATATCACGACTACCTACTCAAATCCCTATAAATCTCGAGGCTGACTAATGTATATAGATTCCATAACACCTATTTTGCTTCATGAAGTGTGGGAGATAATAATCATGTTAATATATATCCAATGCCTATAGTTTTTGAATGGCATCCTTATAGATCTCTTAATCTGAATTACCCAAGAAAGAAGTTTTTGCAATATAAGTTTGCTAAGCTTCAGCAGAAAACTAAGGCAAAGAAAAGGATTCAGATCAGCATATAGCTCAGAAAGTCGTTGCACTTTTTGTCTAAACTTCTAGCATGCATACACACTATGTGTGTATGTGTGTGTATCTGCTTATTTATTTATATTACATGGCAATGTAAAAAAACTTATTTATTTATATTAAATGGCAATGTAAAAAAATTTACTGCAGTTCACAACAGTAGTATGCCAGACAATAATTTTGTACTTTAATTAGATTGAAGATAGATGCATCGACTAGAAATTGAACAGATCCCAGCCAAGATAGCCCAACATACATTGATCATTTGACGAAACCCTCCAGAGATCAGATAAACATCAGTTTTCCTACCCTTCAGCGTGTTGACCAATTCTTCAATCCCAGGCGACAGTCTAGATAAAGGAAAATGGGAAAGATTTCATCACATAAAAGTACACATATTAATCACAATGATGAAAGATAATAAGGTTCTCAGGAAGTCAAATATATCTATTGTGGAATGAATGTCATAATAGAATCATAAAAACTATATATGATGTTTATTGCTAGATCTCCAATTTTACAAATTCAATTGTAACTTGGAACACAACAAATTTTCCTTGAAAAGTTGTGTGAAAACTTTTTGTATGTCATTCACTACAGTTAAAATTAATTTTTTTTTTTTAAAAAAAAAAAGAAGAAGAAGAAGGGGGAAACTGCATATGGCAACAACCTCTGTACACAAAGGGCTAATATGGATTATCTCTAAAATACTAAGGGGTCGTTTACTTCAATTCTTTGTTTTTCCTTTTCCAGTTTTCCATTTCTCTAATTTTCCAATTTTCATTCTCAATTTTTTCATTTCTCCAGTTCTCCATTTTTCATTTTTAAATACAAAATTCAATACACCAATAAAAACCTTACACTACATAAATTACAACCGATTACAAAACAAAATACGCAATAATAACATGCATAAAAATACAAAGTGAAAAAAATCTTTAAGAAAAAAAAAGAAAAGTAATAAGCGTACATTTTTATAAAATAAATATCATACTTTGCAGAGGCATAAGAAATCTATATTCGAATTTTGTAATTGCATCTAAAAATACAAAAGTGAAGAAATCATTTGCACTTTGCAATAAAAATAAAAAAAATAAAATAATAATAATAATAAAGAAAGGAAAAAATGGAAGAAGAAGGAAAAAATGGGGGAAGAAAGAAAGGAGGGGAAAAACAAGAAAGGAATTGAAGAAGGAAACAGAAGATGCGCCCAACACGCCAGGAATTGATCCCACAAACTCGCGCACTGTTCATCTGAAATCACTGTTCATCCGTGTATTCCATTCCTCCAAATGGAGAATGTTGATTTTAAGTTCTCCATTTTTCCACAAAAATGGAAGAATGGAGATAGAGTTAAAGATTGGAAAATTAAATTTAGTAAACAAATTTTTCATTTTCCATTTTTCCACTTCTCCAATTTCTTGTTTTTCCAGAAAATTTTTCATTTTCCCACTTTGGTAAACAATCCTAATAATTTGACAGATTCTTTCCTTACCTAGTATTCCTTTACTTAGTTTATGAACATTGATCAACACAGAAACAGAAGCTTCCCACTTCACATATCTTCTACTTTGTATCATTTAGTTGAGATTGTGTATTTTTGTTCTACAGTCTGATTCAATGGAGATATACCAATTATATATTCCGGGTCAGACTCCTACATACCCTTGGAGAAATTCAGAAGCCCTCTTTTTTGTGTTTCATCCTGAATTGTACCGTAGCTCTCTTTAATCTCATAATCTGGATTATCTCCCAAACAATTTTACAGACCCCTTATTTTTTGCTGGCTGGTTTAGGTCCAGAGGGTATGCATACAGAAAGGTTTGCCTCTTAACTGGATCTGTACAAACTCACTCTCCAAATAAGTTGATTTTAGTAACCAAAAAAAAAAAGACAGTTTGGTAATTGTCATCTTTAAATGAAAGAAGAACAATGCAAGAGATGTCCCTACACTTGGATATATATTCATAGTTTCATACCTTGGAGGTCTCTTCTCTAAGAAATCCTGAACTTGAGATAATGAAGGGTTGAATAGAGATAGTCTGGCAGCCAAGGCTTCCTCGAAGGGAACTGAGCCACTCATTGCCCTAGCAAAGCCAAGAAGAAATGTCAAGTGTAAGGTGTCAAGCATGAGATACACCTACAACATTTCTCATCCAAATAAAAAGCACTAACCTGGCAGTCCATTCTGCAACAGCCTTTCCAGCTCCACAAAACTCAGCAAGTTCATCTATGCCCTCATCTACACAAACTGTGCTATCCACGTCAAAGCATACAGCACTCGCATTCTGCCAGATGTCAAGCACCTCTTGCAATATTATGGAAAGCACCATTTAGGCTCAGCATTATTGGTGGTTAAAACAACACCCAATCCATACACCATTACAGGCCAAAATGTCAAGATCCATATAAAATATGAGTATCAGAAACAAAAGGTATGTATTAGCTAACCAAGTAACCAGTAAACTTAAATTCTGTATTTTTCAATGTATCAATGCAAACAGTGAATTTTAATAAAAAAAAATGTGTGTGTGTCCATGAGACAGGTCGGGTCAAGATAAAAATGTAATACTTATACTGGAAAATGTAATACTAATCAGGAATAAAGTATTTGTTACTTATATGAAAAAATGTAATATTTTGAAGAAAAATGTAATACTTTTACCTCAGAAGTATTACAGTTTCTCTTATATTTAACAATCACATTATTCCTTATCAATATTACATTTTTCAGTATAAGTATTACACTTCACTCAACCCATCTCATGGAAAAGGATCCGCGAGATGGTCACTAAAAAAACCCCGTACATAATTCTGCAAGTCAAATTTCAAAATGTTGCAAGTGATAGAAACCAAAAATATATTAATTTCTCCAATCCAATATTCTTATGTTCCACTTATATACTCACAAGCCTAATAAAACTAACTTGGATTCACTTGTGAAAAAAAAAAAAAAAAAAAAAGAAGCTTGGATTCTACGTTTACCTTTAGATGGCAATGCATTAGCAAAGCTGTTTTTTTTGGAAACTTCAATAGGCTGAATCGAAGCGAAAACCGAATTCACAGGCTTGGGATTTCTAATCATCCCAATTGATTTCCATGAAACTCTTCCTGACACTCTTGGAGCAAATGCAGAAACAAAGCCTGATTTCTCCTGCCTATAATAAGCTTTAATGGGATTGATCTGCAAACTCATCGACCCCTCCATCAAAACTGGCAAATGCAAACAATCGATACGGAGAATAACAAAAGACAGACAAAAATCAGGACCCACTTCTTAGAATCCAAATATGAACTGGTTAACACATAAAGAATGCAAAAAGCTGCAAGCATTCATACAACCGCATATATAGATAGAATGGAATGATTACATATCAAGCTGAGAAAAATAAAAGGAATTTGAGTTACCCTTTTGCCTGCTCTAAGATTCTTCTCAACAGATCTCCAATACAAAAAGCATCAGTTCATTTTAGGAAATTCGTCTAGGAATGGAGGTGGGTAACAAAGAACGACAATGGTGGGTGAGCAGGGGTAACAACGTAACGGAATTTGGCCCGGATAGGAGGTACGATAGTTAACGCCGTTTAGGAATATACCTAATTGCTCTTGGACAAAATAATTAAGAGTAAATACCCAAAATGGTCAAATTATAGCTAAAATTCACAAATTGGTTCTTGACTTTCAATTTCAACCAATTTAGTCCTTAACTTTGCAATTTTAACACAATTTGATCCTCTGTCTATTTGATCGTTTGTTGACTGTGATTTTTGAGAATATATATGTAATTTCATGGTCCATCGTCGGATTTTTACGGTTCTGGTTGCATTTCTATACTGCACTGTTACATTTGAATTCACTGCCGAAAGCAATCTACCAAATCCGATCGCCTTTCTTCATCCTCCCTTTGGATTCAATGTAGTTGAGTTCGTACCAGAGCGAAGAAGACGACGTGTTTCCGAACCGGTGCAACGTCATCCTGGAGGCCTCCACATGCTCCGACGAGAGTTGAAGGTTCTTCTGGGGATCGTCGATCACGATTAACAAATAGTCAAATAAATGGAGGACCAAATCGTGTCAAAATTGCAAAGTTAAGGACTTAATTGGTTGAAATTGAAAGTTGAGGACCAATTTGTGAATTTAGCTATAGTCGAGGGACCATTTTAGGTATTTACTCAATAATTAATTTCACTCTTGATGATATAACTTTTAAAGTTCTATCACTTTTGGTGCAAAATTTTAAAAATTTTCAATTTTGGTGCCTAATTTTATTATTTTATCAATTTTGGTCCTTTCAACCAAATTAACGGTGAAATATTGTCGAATTTTATATTTGTAGGGGTAAATTTATCACCCAAGGAAACATCTCTAATATCCAAACAAAATCACTATAAAATCATATCTATAGGTGTTTGATCGATGATAATAATTAGGAAGCCAGACAGAAATTAGACACAGATCTATGTGATTTATAGTGTCGACGATTGGTAAACCTTTTTTTTTTTTTTCTTAATATGATTTTTCTTTTGTTTAGATATGAGTTAATACCCAAAATGGTCATCTGACTATTAGCTAATACTCAATTTTGTCCCAAAGAATTAAACGTATTCAATTTAGTCTTCTTAGTTTTCAATTCACACCCAATGTGGTCCTCCGTTAATTTTTTCATTAATATGGCGTTATTTTGAAGGGCAATACTGTCATTTTCGTTGTTAAACCATATTCTTTCCATTTGCTCATCACAGTGCGGCATGACTTCTCAAGGACAGTTTCACGGAAGGAGATAACAGGATCAGATGTAATGATTTCAGCACCACCCATGAAATCATCCTGCAAGTCCTTCAAACAAATCTCAAGATGAAGCTCACCAGTCACCAACAATAATGTGCTCACCAAATTCCTCAATAAATTCTTCATAATAAATTGATCAAGACCAACCATAGCCGCTGTATTTCCGCAAGGAACATCCTCAACAGTTTCCTGTTTCTTACCCATCCAAATAACAGTTCTCTGGACATTCTTGACATACCCTCCCAACATCAACTCCCAACATCAATCAAACCAGAGACAGTTGATTGCAACCCCTCCCCAACATCAACTCTACCATCCGATTCCCCATGCAGTGGCTGAGTCGCCAAAATTTCCACCATCTCCGATCATGATTGGTCGAAGGGGTCGACCGATCACTCAATTGATGAAGGCGATGACCTGGAGGAGGCTTGACAAAGGCTCTGGAAGGCCTAGGCAGTGGTTCGCCGGCGAGAATACAGCCAATCACCTCCTGGAAGAAGACAAAGCCTTCGTCGGAGACTGTGATTTCGGGCTCACGGACCGGTAAATTCGAAATGCCTGAAAATCGGGAAGAGGAAACGGGTTGTCGGTTTAGATGGTTAGGAAAAGGGGAGAAAAGAGGGCAGGAAGACGAGTGATGGCTCGACGGCTTTAACAAGAAGCTGTGAAGTGGGCAGTTGGTACAATGTGAAGATGCTGGTGGTGGTTGTGCGAGAAAAGCTAGTGAGGATGAGGAGGAAGCGGTGGCGGCCCTAAATCGCCGGAAGAATCCATGAGTGTCACCTGTAAAAGAGTGTATTTGACTAGCGGAGGTTCTAAAGTCCCGATAGAGTGTTCAACTGAGTAGGAATTCTCAAAGGCGTGGAGGAGGGCCTCCAACGATGTTGACCAGAGGAAGAAATGGGATTGGACCAAGTAAATTGACTTTTTTGCCCTCAAAATAACGGTAGATAGACGGTAAATGTAACGGAGGACCATATTGGGTGTGAATTGAAAATTAAGAGGATTAAATTGAGTACGTTTAATTCTTCAGGACAAAATCGAGTATTAGTTAATATTCAGAGGACTATTTTGGGTATTAACTCTTTAGATATTAAAGATCTTCCATTGAGATAACGATTTTGCCCAAAAATATAAAATCTGATAACATTTAACCGTCAATTTGGTTGAAAAGATAAAACTGATAAAAATAATAAAGTTAGACACCAAAATCAAAAAAATTTAAAGTGTACACCAAACGTGATAAGACCTCAAAAGTCTGAGACCAAAAGTGAAATTAATTTGAACAAAATCTATCCATAGTTATATTGTGAATCAGGTGCATTTAACATATCCCTAATCTGATTATAAAGAGAGTGGAAGTGGACCCAATATGCCCAATGTGTGCTTTAGATCATGAAGATGTGTTACATGCTTTAGTGTTTTGTGAATATTCTACACTAGTTTAGAATATAACACAATTGCCTATTACAAATATTGTTACAGATTCCTTTTCAACATGGCTAATGGGGGCTTTGGCGGTCTTAACGGAAGAGCAAAGCCGGTCTTGGTGGCTGTGCTATACCATATTTGGAGAAGCCACAACTCAGCCGTGTGGAAGGGGGCCATGATGCGGCCAGCCGACGTCGCGAGAGGAGCGGCAGCGTCCATGCAGGCGTACGGCAGTGCACATCACCGCGAAGCACTGTCGGATCCGACACCAGCGACTGGAACGGTGATGCATGGCAACCAAAGATGCTATGTGGACGCGAGTTTTCGACAAGGAACTGGGGATGCCACGTATGGTATTGTTTTAATATCACCGGAGGGATCCTTCATAGCGGCAAAAAATGGCAAATCTCCATTTTGTTTCTCACCACTGATGGCGGAGGCACTGGCTTATAAGGAGGCGCTATCTTGGCTACTAGAAAGGAATATCACATCAATATGCCTTCTCACGGATTGCATGGTTTGACGGAGTGCTTTGCAGCAACAAAACACACCGATCCACTCGTATGTTGGGGTCATGGTTGACCAATGCAGAACAATTATGTCTTTATTTAGTCATATTTCGTTAAATTATATCCCTAGACAGGTTAATTTACATGATCATACTTTAGCTTCATTAGCTTTTACTCAGGATCATTCTATGTATTGGGATTCTATCCCTCCTGACTCTATTACAGCTTTGATTCATTAATACAATCAGCCGATTGGTTTTCAAAAACATATCCCTAATTTTTCAAATAAAATTAATATATTAAAAATATTTCCTTCAAATTCTCTAATTGATATCATTTAAATATATATATATATATATATATATATATATATATATATATATATATATATATATATATATATATATATATATATATATATATATAGGGATGCACTCAGGTGCGAATAAGTGCCCAGGAGGGAATATGCGAACGAATCAGCGCGCGACACGTGTCCACATCTAATAGATTAAAAAAAATGCGGTGGCATTTTGGTAAATAATTGAACATCGAAGTGCAAGTAAAATCACTTACAAGTGTACCTACTTTCACCTATAAGTGCATGTAATTTTGCCTTGTTAACATTCACTTCCCGCAACCATTCATTCACCTAGGTGCACGTACTTATAACTATAGGTGCAACTACTTATAACTATAAGTGCACCTACTTTCACCTATAAGTGCATGTAATTTTGTCTTGTTAACATGCATTCACTTCCCGCACCCATTCATTCACCTGGGTGCACCTACTTATAAGGTTCAGTTGCGGCGTCACAAATAGTTCAACAAATATACACCATCCACATTAGGAAAATGCACCACAAAAACACACACAAAAACACATCACCAAAAATACAACACTAGGTGTGAGTAAAAACACCATACCGTGTTCGGAAATATACCATTGGGGGTGGTGAGTTATATGGTGTATTTTTTTTTGGGTCTGTTGTATACTTTTTTTTTTTGTTTTTTTGCATTCCATTGTGGTGTGTTTCCCTTGCACTGTTGGTGCATGTTGTTAACACTGTTGGTGTATTCTGAAATTCTGCCGCAACGCCGCACCTAAGGACATCGCCGCATTTGAACTTTTTCATATATATATATATATATATATATATATATATATATATATATATATATATATATATATATATATATATATATATATATAGTGCCAATATGGTAATTTTGTGTATTGTTGAAAGTAGGACAAAGTACATACGAGGTCCCTGTACTATAGCGTTTCGTTCAATTTAGTCCTTATACATTTATTTTGTTCAATTTAGTCCTTGTACGAGGTCGACTATGAGCTTCCCATGACAGTCTCGCAAGCACGCCCCTCCCGCAGTCCCATCAGCCCCAAAGGCCGCATTTGTGTTTAGCTTGAGACGACCCGCAGGCGGTGTGAGCCACTTGATCCAAATGGTTACCTTCTTAGAGCGCTCATATGTGGTCATGTCATTAGGTGTGGTCGTGTGGTTGTATCTGTGTCGTTGAATCAGTTTAATCTAACGGCAGTGATAATTCTGAGAATTTTCGCGCGTTTTGGTAAGTGGGGGTGTTATGGTAATTACAGTGGCCATTTATAGCGGGCAGGTTCCAGAATACACCAACAGTGTTAACAACATACACCAATAGTGTAATAAAACACACCACAGTGAAGCACACCAATGGTGTATTCCCGTGTTATGGTAATTACAATGGCCATTTATAGCGGCCGGGTTCCAGAATACACCAACAGCGTTGACAACATGCACCAATAGTGTAATAAAACACACAACAAAATCTTGATTAATATTTCGGTATTTTATGACGAGTTTACCCTTGCAGCTCGCTGGGTAGGAGAATGTGCGCGAAAATAATAGAAAAATCTTGATTAATATGATTCATTGGATCTATCTAATCTAATGGCCTATATTTGACCATATGACCACACATAACAACATGGCCACATGTGATCACTCCTAATATATATATATATATATATATATATATATATATATATATATATATATATATATATATATATATATATATAGTGCCAATATGGTAATTTTGTGTATTGTTGAAAGCTATAGGTGCGTTATTTTAACTCTTAAGGTGCATCAGTTTTACACATAAGAACTTAATGTGCGTAATTGAAAAACTTAAGGTGCGTATTTTCAAAGCTTAAGGTGCATCATTTTAACACTTAAGGTGCGCAATTTTAACATTTAACGTGTATCAATTATACACTTAAAGTGCATACCTTCAAGACTTAAGGTGTGCTATTTTAACACTTAAGGTGCGTCATTTTAACACTTAAGGTGCGTTATTTTAACACTTAAATTGTGTCATTTTAATACTTAATGTACGTCTTTGTAACACTTAATGTGCATCATTTTTAACACTGAAGATTCCCCTTAATACTTATGGTGCGAGGTGCGTCTTTGTAACACTTAAGGTGCGTCATTTTAACACTGAAGGTGTGCCGTTTTAACATTTAAGATGCATCATTTTAACACTTAGGGGGCGTTTGGTTCACGGAATCTTGGATTACCTCAGGTAATAGGATTACCTTCTGGAAGGTAATGTGAGATTTTGGGAATGTAAGATTACTTTATGTGTTTGGTTTGGATGGTGTAATATAATATTACCTTGTTTGGTTCAGGGTTATATTTTAGGTTATATGGATCAATTTACAATAATGTCCTCAGTAATATATATATATATATATGTGTGTGTGTGTGTGTGTGTGTGTGTGTGTGTGTGTGTGTGTGTATTTATTTATATCTATGAATGTATATCAAAGCTTAAATATTAAAAAAATTAAATATATAAATATACACATATGTATATTTGATTATATAAATATATATTAATTTCATTATTATTATTATTATTTTATTATTATTATTATTATTATTATTATTATTATTATTATTATTATTATTATTATTATTATTATTATTATTATTATTATTATATAAGGATTAGTTAACAAGGGCAAAGTTGGAATAATTCAAGGTAATCTAAGATTACCTAAAAAAATAGGGGTAATCACATTACCTTGAAATATTACCACCACATCAGCTTTCAGGTAATATAACATTACCTGGTAATCCCATAACTTGAACCAGACATTACCAGACCCAGATTACCTAGGTAATCTAAGATGACCCGAACCAAACGCACCCTTAAGGTACGTCAATTTAATACTAAAGATGTCTCATCCATATGGTTTTTAATTAAATTTAGGTGTAAAAATTATATGGCTTAACAAGTTTTCTGGGAATTATTTTTTACAATGCAATAATAACACATCCACTGAGGCTTGAACCCACAACTTCTCATATGGAGTTAACTTGGTACCATTGAACCACAAAATCCTTGATTACAAAGTCACCGTATGATTTTAATATAATAATCTCCATTTATCAACTTAATTAATAATGTATGTAATAAAAATGTTTTGGAAATTAGATAGATAATAATAAAGTAATAAATATGTTATTCTAAGTATAGAATAAATACTCTTAAGGTATAGAATTTCATAATAGGAGACATAAAAACTCACAACACAAGATACATACACATGTTATATATTTACGTATTCTCAAATCTGGTTTGTGTAGATAATATATGTCCTATAGGCACATAATTTCATAATACAAGATATAAATTTCATAAACTAAGACACACAATATGTTGTGTGTTACACAACTACTAATCTATTTCAGGTACATAATTAATACGTTTATGGTATAGAAATACATAACATGAGACATATAAACACATAATACAAGACACATATACATGTTTTATATTTACTTTAGTTCAGGCACATAATTAATATTATTAAGGTATATAATTGCATAACATAAAACTCAAAAACACATAACATAAAACACAAAAACGTATAACACAAGTTACAAAAATGCATGTTATATTTAATTTGTTTCCGGTATAGAAACTATACTTACGCTTAAGGTACATAATTGCATAACATGAGATATAGAAACGAATAACACAAAACACGTAGACATACTTTACAGTAAAAAACAAAAAACATGTAACGTGAATTGAACAATAAACTGTCGTCGTCAAAATTAAAATTCAAAACTACGTCATTTAGGACCAGACCACGATATAAAATTTTTTTATTTATCAAACAACTCTAAACTAATTTTAATTTTTTATTAGTGAAATAATATTACATGAGGTTTAGTTGGAGTGAAGGAATTATAAAGGGAAAATGAAATGTAATTAGGTGGAAAAAAGAATAAGGTGAGAATAAAATAAGAATTCAAATTACATTATTTGGTTGGGAAGAATAAAATTATTTAGAATGAGAAAGTAAAAAAAGTAATATAAAAATTAAAATATCCTTGTGTATTAATAATATACTTCTAATAACCATGGTAAAAAAAGTTTTTTTTGTAAAATAAAAAATAAAAAATTTCTTCCTTTTCTATGGGGAAAGATATGAATTATAATTAAACAAAATGAAGAAATTGGTCGTGGAATTGTCATTCCCTCGAATGAAATATTGTAATTGAAATGACCAAAGAATTATAGTGCAATTGAATTACAACTACTCCCACCAAACAACCTTTTGTTAAAAATTTTGCATTAAATCCTAAATCCTAATCCTAGCACAATTCATAATTCCTAAATCCTAATCTTAGCAGCTAGCACATTGGGAGCTCTGTTTTGAGTTGAGACGATACCTTATTTATACAATGAAGTGAACTTCGTTTTGCATCGTCTTCCCCGATTTAAAACCCTAGTATAACCGATCAGTATTTCTCTCTCTCAAATGGCGTCGCCAGATAAGCAATGCCTCTACGAGGTTCTCGGCGTGAGCCGAGAGTGCAGCTCCGACGAAATCCGGTCCGCTTACAAGAAACTAGCTTTGCAGCGCCACCCGGACAAGCTGGTCCAATCCGGCGTCCCGGAATCCGAAGCCACCGCCGCATTCCAGGAGCTCGTAAATGCTTACGAAGTCCTCTCCGACCAGCGCGAGCGCTCCTGGTACGACTCCAACCGCTCCAACATCCTATTCTGTACTTCCACTAATTCCTCTTCAAACTTTGCCTCTGTCCCCAATCTCTTCTCCTTCTTCTCCAATTCCGTCTACTCCGGCTTTTCAGACACCGGCAAGGGATTCTACAAAGTTTACGCTGACGTATTTGATAAAGTTTATCACAATGAAGTCAATTTTGCGAAGAAATTAGGTCTAAACCCTCCCAACGAAGCTCCGATCATAGGAAATTCCAATAGTCCTTATGCTCAGGTGACTGCTTTCTATAATTACTGGTTGGGATTTACGACGGTGATGGATTTCTGCTGGGTCGATCAGTACGACGCGATGGCCGGAATAAACAGAAAGTCGAGAAGAGTGATGGAGGATGAGAATAAAAAGCTGAGGAAAAAGGCACGAAGGGAGTACAACGAAACTGTTAGAGGATTAGCAGAGTTCGTGAAGAAGAGAGACAAGAGGGTAATCGATATGCAGGTGAAGAGGAGCGAGGAGATAGAGAGGAAAAGAGAGAAAGATCAAGCTAGGAAGAAGGAGTTAGAGAGGCTTAAGCAAGAGAGGGCAAAGAAGTACAAGGAAGCTGAGTGGACTCAGGTTGAAGATGAAGCTGAAGAAACATGGGAAGAAGAAGAAGAAGAGGATGATAGGAAAGAGCTATACTGCATAGCCTGTGGGAAGAAATTCAAGAGTGAGAAGCAATGGGAAAATCATGAGCAGTCTAAGAAGCATAAGGAGAAAGTTGCAGCATTAAGAGAAGCTTTCAGTGGTGTGGACAAAGAATTTGAGGAAATAGTTGTCAATGGAAGGAAGGAGGAGGGGGAAGAGCAAAAGATACCTGAGGCTGATGAAAGTGATTATTTTTCAGCAACAGATGATGCTAGTAATTATATTTTCTTCATTATATTTCATATTATCTTATTTATAATTAAGAAATTGTATTTAGAATTTAAAAGAATTTAATTTTTATATTTTGTATGGATTGATGACACTTTTTCCCCCTGAGTTATATACCTATAGCATTTTTTCCCCCTAAATGATTGAAGTGGTTGTTTTTCCACCTGAAATGTTAATTGGACATATTTACCCTTAAACTAAATATTTAATTTATTTTTTTTCTCCAACAAATTATGACCATAATTTGGTTCAAACTAAACAAACACTATAGCAACCAAACCAAAATATTTCAATTACAATTTAGAATCGAAATTCGATATTTAGAGTTTGTTAAAATCGTGAACCGGAACGGACGGTTCATGTTCCGAACTGAAAAAATAAAATGCATTTATTGTTGAATTTAGACTATTTTAAAATAAAAAATATAATTTTAAAATAAAGACGGTTCAAAATCACGAATCAGATCCGGAACCGCCGGTTCACGGTTCAAGATTCAATTTTTTTGATACATAATTTTAATAAATTGACATTTAAATATTGGGTTCTAGATCTGAATTATAACCGTAAACTATTAATTCGATTGCTTTAGTATCCGGTTCAATTCAAACCGAACCGTGGTCATCCCTACGTATACGCAATAATTTGTTGGAGTAGTAAAATAAATAAAATGTTTACTTTAAGGGTATAAATGTCAATTTAATATATCAGGGGGGAAAAACACCACTTTTAAAATAATTGAGGGGGCTAATGTGCTTACCTAAATAATTGAGGGGGAAAAAGTGCTATAACTATATAACTCAGGGGTAAAAAGTGTCATTTTTTCATTTAGTTATTAACTATATGTACTTATTTAGGCACTAGTTTTTTATGCACATGGCGCGATTGAGATAATGTCCAATATTTTTTTTTTAAATAAGTATTTTAAAGTATATCAATGCAAGATTATATTAGAATGATTATAATTGAATGTTGAATTTGCGTATTTAAATTGGTAATTCTAAGTTTACAAATGCAAGATAATATAGTCAAGATTATAATTGTCAATAAAATAATTGTATGGATATGGTTGAAACCAAATACGGAACATAAAGGAGAAGCAAATACAAATTAAAACATAAAATATTAAATATATAAAGGAGAGGCAAATACAAATTAAAACATAAAATATTAAATATATACTAATATTGTATGAGGAAATTCTGGCACTATGTAGGATTTGTGGTTAGAGTTCTATTAAGACTTTAATATTAGAATTAGATTAATGTTGTAGTTATAATTCTATATTAGACTTTAATATTAGAATTAGACTAACGGTTAACTGATTGGATAATAATCATATAATTAAGGATAAATTAGAAAATCTCAAGGAAAAATTAAAATCAGAACAATCTGAACTATTCATTTGATTTAATAATTTGACGGTCATTTTTTCTACCTAATGTTTATAATTAAATAAATATTTGAAAGTATATAAATACAAGATTATATATGAGAAGTTCAACATAAGTAATTTAATGTCTAATTTGTTTATTTAAATATGTAATTCATAGTATATGAATACAATGTAATATAGGAGATTTATTATAATTGTTACTAAACTTTTTTTTTTTAAATAGTAACTAAGTATTTTGTTTTCAAAGAGTTCTAATATATTTAATGAATGCACATATATACAAGATCAATGAATGAATCAACGCTACTAGTCCTTTAGGTGTTTTGCTCAATGTTCATTTAGTTCAACAATTATTGTTGAATAAATTATTATGGATAAAGAAATTCCTAATTTAAGGAATTTAGATGCAGTAAAAATTTAAAAATTTTAATTATAATGTAACACAAAGATCAAAATGCTAAAGAAAGTGTTTTGATTATTCAACAGTTTGAAGCAACAATTTGTTCCAAACCACCGAAAATACAAACATTGCAATTTACATTATTATTATTATTATTATTATTATTATTATTATTATTATTATTATTATTATTATTATTATTATTATTATTATTATTATTATTATTATTGATAGGGATATACGCCCGGGCCCCAGCCGTCCCGGTAAGGTCCAGCAACCCGACCCGACCGTCTGGAACCGGCGACCGACTAAACCGCCGGAAGACCGTGCATTGGGCAGACCGACCCACCAGTTTCCACCGGTCGGTGCCCGGTCGTATGGGCGCCTCCGAACTGAAAGAGAGTCAGGTCCTAAGCGCCGCGTGGCAGGCAGTCATACGGCCTGCGGCGGCGCCTGGTGCATGTTTGCCACGTGTAGGCCATGCCGGAAGCCCGGAGGTACCTACTTTTGGGCTCTATAAATAGCGCATTAAATGCAGCGTGAAAGGGACTTTTGGCACGAGACAAGAGGAGAGCTTCCCGACCAGACACTGGGAACCCGAATCTTGTCCATGCCTGTATAAATACACGACCTAGTATAAGCAATATCATTTTGACGCCGTCCGTGGGGACATCCGATCCGCCAGGAAATGCTATCAGAAAGCGGTGGACCGGAAGGAAGCCTGGAACTCTCAAGTAAATTCCATCTCTAAAAAAGCGGAGGCCGAAACGAAAGAACAACCGGAACCGTCAGACGAGGTCGAAGAGATCCCTGTAGACATCAGCCAGCCGGATAAGATGATCCGGATTGGTCGACAGCTCCCCCCAACGCTCAAAGAAGCCATCTTGGTCGTACTACGGAAATTCTCAGATATCTTCGCGTGGGGACCGGAGGACATGCCAGGAATAGACCGATCGGTGATATGTCACCGATTGGCCGTCAATCCGACAGCACAACCGGTAAAACAGAAGACGAGACATCTCTCTAACGACCGTCGGGAATTCGTCAGAAGCGAGGTCAAGACCCACACCGAGATCGGACATGTCCGCCCGGTCGTTTACCCCGACTGGGTTGCGAATGTAGTCCTAGTGCCCAAACCACTGACTTGGCGAATGTGCATCGACTACACGGACCTGAACAAGGCTTGTCCACTGGACCCGTACCCTCTCCCAAGTATACACCAGATGGTCGATGACACGGCGGGGGCGGACCTCATGAGCTTCATGGACGCATTCAGGGGATACCATCAAATTATGATGGCCGAAGAAGATGAAGCTAAGACGTCCTTCGTAACCCCAGACGGCCTTTTTTGTTATCGGGTTATGCCTTTCGGACTCCGAAATGCCGGGGCCACGTACCAGAGAATGATCAATGCCTTATTCGAAGGACAGCTCGGACGGACGATGGAGGCGTATGTGGACGACATGCTCGTCAAAAGTAAGGAGCAGTCGGATCACGCCCGGGATCTCCGAGCATGTTTCGAGGTGATGCGCACGTACCGGCTACGCCAAAACCCAGCAAAATGTACGTTTGCGGTACAAATCGGAAAGTTCCTGGGATTCATGATGACGAAGAAGGGAATCGAGCCCAACCCAGCTAAGGTGAAGGCCATCTTGGAAATGCAGCCACCCACCACCGTCCGGGAGGTCCAACAGCTAACCGGGAGACTGGCTGCCCTCAGCCGATTCTTGTCTAAGTTGGCGGAAAGGGCGTTGCCTTTCTTCAGAACGCTAAAAAAGATCAACGGGTTCACTTGGGACGAGGAATGCCAAGCGGCGTTCAAAGAGTTGAAGGAGTACCTGATGTCCCGATCGTCCTCTCCAAGCCGTAGCCGGGCGAAGACCTGGACATCTATCTTGCTGCCTCCGACCGAGCCGTAAGTGCTGTACTATGCCGCACAGATCCTGAGGGCGTACAACGACTGGTCTATTATGTCAGCCATGCTCTCCAAGGCCCGGAACTCAGATACTCCCGCTTAGAAAAGATGGTCCTTGCTCTCTATGCAGCTGCGAAGAAGCTCACCCCTTACTTCCAAGGGCGAGTCGTTCACGTATTAACCGACCAACCAATTGGAGCCGTCCTCCGAACGGCCTCCTCCTCCGGGCGCCTTGTCAAATTGGCGATGATGCTGACACAGTTCGCGATTGAGTACAAGCCCTGACCGGCCATTAAAGGACAGGCGTTGGCTGATTTTGTTGTAGAATGCACTGCCCGTGAGGCCCCGACCGTAGACCAGACGGTCCAAGACGCCTCATGGTGGGAAGTCGCTACCGATGGTTCAAGCAGCCGAAAAGGCTTAGGTGGAGGAGTTGTCATCACAAGCCCCGAAGGATTTAAGGTGTATTACGCTCTGATCTACCAGTTTTCTCCCACGAACAACGAGGCGGAGTATGAAGCCTTTGTCGCGGGATTACAATTTGCAAAGGACCTAGGAGCGGAATACGTACAGGCCCGGACGGACTCGTCCCTGGTGGTGGGGCAGGTCTTAGGAGATTTTGAAGTCAATGGCGAACATCTAGGGCGCTACCGAGATTTGGCGATCGAGCGATTGACCGCCTTCAAGGCACACGCCGTGCGGCATGTCCCCCGGCTGGACAACGCCGATGCGGACATCCTCTCAAGATTAAGTGTGGAAGCACCAGAGCACATCTCCCGGGTGGCCCGTGTCCTCGTCATACCATATCCATCCATCGACCACCGCCACGTCATGCCGGTTCAACCGGTCGAAGAAAGTTGGATCACCGACATAATGGGGTACCTAGAGGACGGTAGGCTCCCGCCTGACGAAACAAGAGCGCGAAAGGCGAAGCTTCGAGCACCGAGATTCCAAATAAAAGAAGGCCGCTTGTACAGACGGTCATATGGGGGCCCCCTCATGAGATGCTTATCCGATTTCGAGGCAAAACTAGTCATGGACGAGCTACACTCGGGAATATGCTCGTCACACCAGGGCGGGCGATCGCTTGCTCGACGAATAATGTTGATCGGATATTACTGGTCGTCGATACAGCTCGAGTGTGAGAAACTCACCAAGGAATGCGAGACCTGCTAAATATTTGCAAGGATGCCCGGACGACCGGCCACCTTCTACCAACCGGTTAGCACAGCTATCCCTTTCGCAAGGTGGGGAGTAGACATCATAGGACCGTTTCCTCCGCTGTCGGGTCGACGAAAATTTATCATAGTCGCCATAGACTATTTTTCTAAATGGGTCGAAGCGGAGCC